TCAACGGCAGTGACTCACGAACACACTGATTTATGACACTCGGGAAGTCCCAGGAAAAATTAAACTGTCTTGGAACCAGCAACGAAATAAATCGTAGAAAATATAATAAATCCACTCCCCTTATTAGCAAAGCAGGAGATATAATGAAGTAAAATAGTCACTTTTAAACAGGGAGGCACCTAGACCACAAAATATTATGGGTCTTAAGTAAGCTATTTTTTTTTTCTCGCTCAAGATCCTCAAGATCCTCATAGTATACCGTCCTAGATGTCATGGGTAGTAGACGGATGTGAAATAGTGGATTCTAAGTTATTATGGCGACATCTTGAGACATAGGCATTAGTGTAAAGTCCGAAGGAAGTAGTGTAAAGGATACCTCAAGCCTAAGGCTACAGTAGGATAGTCATACTTTAGAACAAATGTGCCAGTTCGACCGGAATAATACCACGGCCTCACAGAAAACCGGTGTTAAGCAGTTCTTTCGTGGCTTTTCACTGGGTGAGTAAGGTTACCGGGGCCTAAACCCCTCTCTCCTGATTCTGGGAGGTGGGATTCAAAAGGCGGCACCGCACTTATGACCTTAGTCACAGGTGTCCATGGGCGAAAAAAAAAAATAGAATGGGGAAACGAGATTGGAGAAGTGCATAACGGGGTTAAGTACCCATAAATAGATGTTTTTAGGACAGGGTAACTGGCTAGTAAGTACTGTATGATGCTGTACGTAATGCATGCTTGATGATTCCTTATAGTCGATCGTGGGTTTGTTGCGACAAAAATAGCTAGCTGTCGAGAGAAAATTGAAAGTGAGAATGTTCACATTCGGCTGCTAATTTAGTTTTTATGTGGGTGTAGGCGGGTAATTTTGTTTAACACAGTTTTAACTGGAGCACTAGCGATTACTACGAACTTAATGAATGATCAGTAGGAGTTATATACCTTTGAATTGTCTGACGTGGTCACACGTGACCACAGAATTTCCTAATTATTTATTGGCTTAATAGGGAAAGATTGTGAGGTCGGGTGATTGAGGGGGGTTGTTAGAGGCCTGGGGGTGACAGGTGAGGCCATCTGTCACCCTAGCAGAAGCAGGCCGGGGTGGCGGCGAGCGCGCTCGCTTCCAGGGTGCAGAGAGAACATAGGGTATACCTGGTTCCCCGGCTATTAGTACCCGAGACGGCGTGCGGTTTTAGTCGGTTCGAGTCCGACATTGTGGTATCCGAGGGGATTTCCGCGCGAAAAAAAAGGGGGGGTTGTTAGAACTGATGATAAAAAGTGTTCTGTAACTATTCGATGTAGCCAGAATACGGTCGATTGTCGTGCAAGAAGAGATGACCTGAGTTTTTCGCATTATTCTACGCATACCAACAATTTTTCACAAGATGACGTCACCAACACATCTTATGCGTTCCCAAGGCTAAATCAGTTAGATATTATTTACTATGTTATCTAATGTTGAAGTTACATTACGTTAAACCTCGTCATTGATAGCGGGCCATTGTGTACCTTACTACTATCGTAATAGAGGATACAACGATAACACCGGTCGTAGTAACATCTAAATATAAAATCGAAACCGTGTCTACAATGAAATTTTATTTTAGGTGCTAAACGAAAAATGTACGTTTTTCACAAGTAGTAGGTATGCGATATAAACACTCAATAATAGAATACAGTAAATAACAATTATTTCAGAGTACCTACTTTTTCTTGTTTTTGTTTATTAATAGCTGACCTAGTAGATTTCTTCATATCATGACTAAAATAAAATCTAATATATAAAATTCTCGTGTCACGGTGTTAGGAAGTTAAACTCCTCCGAAACGGCTTGGCCGATTTTCGTGAAATTTTGTGTGCATATCGGGTAGGTCTGAGAATTGGCCAACGTCTATTTTTCATACCCCTAATGTTTTTTTTTTTTTTAAAAAGAAATAATGTATATGGCAAAACAGCGTTTGCGGGGTCAGCTAGTAAAAATATAAAAATTTACAATCGTTTTGTGAAAGAAAAACTAAAAAAAAAACAAACAAAAAGACACAAAGTAAAAATAATATGATATGCAGAATATCTAGACCCAAAAAAAAACTGAGCTTGTAATGACGGTCCTAGAACAGGGATAAACATACAACTACACAACACTCATTATATACACATACAACTACACAATACTCATTATATACACATACAACTACACAACACTCATTATTTGCACTGAGCGGGAATCGAACCCACGCCCCCCCGGAGAGGCAGGCAAAGAGAGCGTCATGCATGACAATTGTGTACTTTCCTGGCAACTCCTCTTATTGAATAATAATGACACAATGACAAAACAATGACATTTTTTTTTTTAATTTAATGACCTGGTAACTAAGACCTTTAAGTCGAAATGACTTCGAACACTTAGTGACGAACTTTGGGTCAGTTTCATGTATTTTTGTGAAGTCCCTCACTCGTCACCAACATTTCAACCTTTTTCAATCAATGCAGGTACCATTGAAAAACATTAAATTTTTATTTATACAACAGTTAACAAGCATGTTTACTGCGCAATAGTATTTTTATGAATACGAAAGAAACGTGCAGCACGTGAGGAGACGCGGGTCAAATTTAATCAGCACTACCACTTTATACTACTATTACTAGATACTACTAGTAGTATCTTACTGCACGGATGGCGTAGTGGTTCAAGCGGTCACCTCGACGCTTACTACTACGCTGAGTGTTGTGTGTCCGATCCCCACATGGGACAACACTTTGTGTGATCCACAAATTGTTGATCTGAGTCTGGGTGTTCTTTGTGCCCCTTTCATGTTTGTTTGTAAAGTCCCACGCAACATAGGTATATTCCTAATGCGGGAGTTGTCTATTTTAAAAATAAATTACTTTCGCGTTCCATGATATACAATTATTATTTTTATGGAAGAGGTGGCAAACGAGCAGACCGGTCGCCAGAGGGCCAAGTGCGAGTTTATTCACTTGTACTCCACCAATCGCAACGCTAACTAACGCTACTTACTATTTGCGGGTATTTGACCCTGAGCCTCTATGAACCTTTGCAATCTCATTTCCCCATTCCAGACTATTTTCTGCCCGCCCATGGACACCTGCTACTCTAAAGCCAAAGTGCGTTATCGCCCTTTCAATCTAACCTCCTAGAAGCAGGAGAGAGGGGTTTGGGCTCCGGTAATCTTACTCAGTGCAGTGTTTTTTTGGAGGCCGTGGTGTCGTTTCGGTCAAGCCGGGCCATTCCTGCCGAAGCATGGCTTTTCCACGGTTAAAACGTTTTGTTTAGATACGAGAATGAATGAGAATTAACCTTTCAATCGCCTGACGTTTGGTCTAGGTTGCACTGGCCACAAAACTAAAACCTATTCCGCTTTAATTTATGGTCAACTAGCTTTTGCCAGCGTCTCCGGCTCTCCGCCCCCTTGTATGTCGGTTATCGCGGTTAAAAGTTCTTTCTCATAAATCAAACTATCTCCCTGTCAAATTTCATCTTTTATTGAATCCCCACAACCTCCACCTCCTTTATCACTCCCTTAAAGGACGATTTCGCGGATTAAAACTATACCTTTCCTGGGACTCGAACTATCCTCTATACCAAAGTTCATCTAAATCAGTGCAACCGTTTAAGGGTGAAGAGGTGACAGATAGACATGCACACTTTCGCATTAATAATATTAGTATGGATTACTGAAATAATAATTTTAAATTATATGTACCTATGTGTAACGGAATTAACACTATCATGTAATAGAAATGTTGGTATCTCAACTGTAGAATTATTTCTACCTTTTGATAGTAACCAATAGTGTCTTTGACCCTATGAATTTTATATACCACTGACAAGGTGTTCAAAATTTGCTCATCATAAACAGCCTATAACAGTCTGTTGCTGGACATAGGCCTCTCCGTAGAAAGGAGGTCTTGGCCTACTATAACATGCTGGCCAGACGGGTTGTTTTGGCAAGTTTGCTCATGATTAGTAAATATTGAGGGAGCTAGACATTTATACTCGATATACAATGACAACATTCACATTTTAATTTTGTTATTTTTGTTAGGATTAACTATGAACATTTATGATAAGTCTTTCTATATTAAAGGACTCTATGGCAATTAAATGAATGAAATTTATTTTATTGTAAGTTTAAAATTCTTGCGTTATTTTAAACAAATTAAGTAGGTCAAAAAATCTAAATTCAAATTAAGAAAACCTAACTGTCAGTTTTCAAAAATATTGTTGTATGCTAACACATTTGTTATCATATTTGATCTGACAGCTGCTGATTAACCTCCATCAATCTGATAACTACCTATATACCTATTGACCAATTTTTATTCAAATTGGATCAGTTTAACTGGTTTAGATAAAAAAAAACAAACTAGAATACTTTAAAATATACATGTATTTCTTATTAAAAGATGTCATACTATAACTTATTTTGTTTAGTTTATTATTAAACACTAAAAAAAAAGGTTTATATACTCTAAACCTGTTTGCTTTTAATATTAATCAACAAATTAGGGTATTTCTCAAATATAGTACTATGTTAGGAATCAAGATAGATAAATTATAATTTACTGATGATTGTGTAGTTACAAGTCTGGATTCATGATACACATGGTAACTTTCGCATCAATAATATTAATTAAAAAGTTATCGCAGTCACAGTATTGTCTTAAACCTACCCACAAACTGTCAAAATGTAGATGAAAACCTGTATTCAAAGCAACAGCAGTTGTATTAAAGTGCATTTTATATCTAAATCTGATGTTTTTAAACACTATAGATTTTGATAACATAAAATTTATTATTATAGTATTTCAGACATAAATTCAATATTTTTGAAGCCTTCTAGAAATGTTTCAATACTGTTTAACTAGTCATTGAGGGTAGGTATTAATAAAATATAAAATCTTAATACTATAGTCCAAAATATCCAAAATATAAATATGAAATAACTATATATTAATATTATATGTTATACTTTATTGCTTACCTTTCTCTCCTGACTTATTCGAGCCTGATGCATTGCTTGATAGGCTGGAGTCATCAGAGTCATATCCAAATGCAGTATTGTCTGCATTCTTGGGGTTGGGATGTCGTTCGCGGCGGGGCTGCCAGCGGCGGGGTGTGTTGTGACCACCAGGCGAGCCGCTTAGGTTCTGCAGAGCGTCCAACGGGTAGTGACGCGTTGTGCGCTCGGCCTGCCCACTCATCAGGAACATTTGGCCGGGGCCTCCAAAGCCCCCGTTCCCGTGGTACATCATCGGCACACCTTCGTTCATGCTCGCTTCAATACCCTGCCGGCGTTCAGGTTATGAGCAGAGATTCGCCGGCAAATTTCAACAGTAAATTTTTTGCATACCGACCTGTATTCCGACCGTGAATTCCGATGGCGTCCGGCGTGGCGGGCGACTATTGCGTCATATTAGGCGTAGTAAATTAATTAAAGTATGGTGCGACGTCGAAATCGAGTGATTCTATTTATCTTGGCTACGCCGAAATTCGAGACGTTCGTCAGTGGGACGTTCTTTCCAATTCAGTAGCTTCTGGCCGGTATTTGTGTCGAAATCAGCGTGTCGCTAGTTTCCCACTATATGAACAAATCGAGCTATAATTATTTCGACGCCGGTATTAATAAATCTACCCACGAATTATGGCAAATCTGTAAAATCTAATGAGAAAGATCCGCCATGACTTTAGGGAGCAACACTAACGACATCTGATGTCATTTAATGAAACAGTACACGTGATTTTTACTTTTTTCTACTTCAAATTATATTGTTCCATTTCAAACCAGTAATAAAAATGTAATTATTTTGTTTAATATTATTATTTTGTACGTGTTTAAAGACCCATTTTTTTTGTATAATACCTTAAAAATAATAAATTAAACTATAAAATAGTTTTTATTAAGAGTCACATGACAGTCACTTTCCTAACTATTTTTTCCTTTTGCAAGTATAAACTGACATTGACGTTAGGAAACGTTCCTATTGTGTCACTCAATGTATTATAACATTAAATACTTATATCTTTTTTCAACTTGTAATCAGTATATCGCGCCGTCTTTGTCTTCCTGGTTAATCGCTGTTTCATGCAGAGAATAAGGTCTTTTTTCCTTACATATTGTATTTGACATTTTAGATTAGATCTGCCAAAAACGCGTAAAATAATAGAATTATTGACAAAAACAATTTAAATAATTCCTATAAATTATTTTAGTGGCCATGGAAGACATTTCAATACCTTTGCATTTATTTGCTTAATTATAAAACTCTTTTTCACGAGTGATGACGTTGAATGAGGACTATGTAACCTTAAAAGTGCAAAAAACAAACTTTGCTTTCTCATTGTTTGATAATCTTCTTTATCTCAGCTGTACAGCACGTTGATATGTCACATTTCGGGGATTTTATGGACGAGGTGTCCGTTAAAATATCAGAAAAATACAAGCGACATACGAGAATTGATTTACCTTATAGTGTTAATGAATGTATAACTAGGGCTCAGGCAGTCATCGACAGCGCTAACGCTTCTAATTACTCCTGTACGTTCGAGAGAAACGTACTTTCAAAACTTAAGGAACTAAGGACAGCAAAAGAGACGAAGAAAAATGAAAGGCGGCATCGCCTCCAGTTGCTACAGGAGGCTGAGCAAAAGAGACTGGATGCGATAGCTGCAGCTGAAGAGGAGGATCGATTGAAGCAGCTGAGCGTGTCAGATGTGTCGTACCCGAGCACAGAAGAAATTAGCGCGCTATCTCCTGACGAGAAAGCTGATAAAAACTGTGATAATACGACTAGTGTAGATGTTAACACTGAATATGCCGATGTTTCCACTAACGTAAACTTGCCGTGTGTGAACGTTGCTACAGAAACTCAATTAAATATCCTCCAGCCTATTCAGGTGAAATCAAACTACCCGGAAAGTAGTTTGCTTGATGATCCAGATCCGTTACAGAATTTAAAATTAAGTAATAAGATTACTAGAATGCCACACAATGCTAATATAGAAACGTTGACATTTAGAGATTTTGAGCATGATACATCCAGTCCGTTTGATAATGTTGAATTAAAGACTATAAATGATATGGAACTATTAGCTCAAGTGTTGCAAACTCAGAAAAATTCAACTGTAAGTTGTCCACAACCAACTGATTATGCGCAAGAGCAACAAGGCTATCCCATTCCGAACTGTGCATCACAGGCCCAGGTTGAAGGAACCTCATATTTACCTACATCATACTTAGAACAGCCAATTCAAGGTCCTAGCGTGATGTATAATTCACCGCAACATTATTCCATGTCTAATGGGTATTACATACCCACAGAGACTGATAATGTCAATGCATATATGCCAAATTATCAATATTATGTTCCCGCTAACCCATATTCAACCGTAGAACCATATTACACTGGCCAGTTACCAGTAACATCAGATATCAGTCAAGCACCAAATGGTTCTTCATACATTCCACAACCTTACTATTATCAGTATCCACATGTGCCCGTTCAGTACCCGTTACCAGATGCACCAGTTTATAATACTCCCATACCAAATGAAAATACTGAACTGCCGGTAGCAACATCACAAAATACAGTGAAATCACGATCTCGAAGTGTACCAGATATTGTTAGAGAATTAAATGAAGAATTGGCCAAGTTGAGAATGAGTGAAAGGTCATATAATGCTAGTCCAGCTCCAAAAAATACTCCGCAGTCGCAGGTGACACAACCCCAACCATCAACAGCTAATAAGAGAGAAGACAAGACAAGTAAAAGGAGATTAGAAAATTTGCCCAATCCATTTGATAAGTTGCCTTTGAAGACACAAGAAATGTGCAGACAAATACATGGGATGGGTTTTCCGATTGACAGGGTAGCTAGAGTTTGTACTCTTGTAGGAGATAATGATAAGAAGGTGAGTGAAATGTTAGTTTTTTAATAATATACTAGGTATATAGGTTACAGATTATAAATGCAATTGTTTTGGTGACCTTGACAATGAATCATATTTATGGCTATGGTTTCATAATCATCATTAACAGCCTTTACTAGTGCACTGCTGGACGTAGGTTCCCCTTTAGAAATGCGATTTTCGCCTACTACACCACGCTGGCCAGACAGTTGGTGTAGGGTTTTTTCAAGTTTTCCTTCTCTTTGCCTATGGTTTAAGCATATGTAAATAACCAGGGTTGTCTGACGTAGTTTTTGTAAGTTGTGTGCCTTCCTCACATTGTCAGCTAAAGGAAATAATGGCAATAAAATTAAATGGATATATCATAAGTATATGTACATATAAATAAATCTGATGAGTTTTACTGTTTGATTGTTGATTTAACAACTACCATCCTGAACTATAAGCCAGATTTGAATTATTCTTTTGGTAATAGACAGAGTAACCATTGAAGTGGGTTATTGTCACTTTCTTTTATCATCATCTGCTGTGCCATGCAGTTGGTCTGAAGGATATCTGTTCTAAATTTAATATCGCCTTTATCACATAATAATAGATTACAGATACTAAATTTAAAGTGTGTTGTACAGTAAAAATACTTCTATATTTCTAAATAAGCAACTTTACGTAAAATTAACAAAAGTATAGCTACAAAAAGTGTGATCAAAGCTCACTAACAAATTGAGAAGAATTGTACGGACACACTTTTATATAATACTAGCTAACCTTGCAAACGTTTTGCTATTTACATGTTTTCTTTTTTTTTTAATTTCTTATAATCCGTTCTTAGCTGACCTCTACTCAGTGAAAAGAATATTCCTACCAAATTTCAAGTCTTTAGCTCTAATGGTTCCAGAGATATTGTGATGAGTGACTATATACGTGGAAATCTCTTATACATAGATGAAATACAATATTATTACAATTCATTCAATATTACAGTTAAAATGCTCACTAATTTGTGGAAATCTGGAGCCTAAAATAGGCCGTAGTAGGGCGTATGCCCTTTAAACATTTTTTTTGTCTGTGCGGCAATCCCCTCGGATACCACCCACCGGAGGCTATGTCGGACTCGAACCGACTAAAACCCGCACGCCGTCTTGGGAACCAGTAGCCAGGGAACCTGATGTACTCTAGAAAGGAAATCCCTGGTACCATGCCCTTTAAACCTGCTATACATAAGATAATTTAGTACTCAGTCAGCTGTGCATTAAAGATTCTGGTCACTTATGCCTATTGAGTTACAAGTATCCATAAACGGCGGTAGTCGCTTGCCGTCAGGTGACCCGTCAACTCGTTTGCCCTTTATCCCATCAAAAAGTTATAAATGTGAGTGTGTTCTTTTGTTACGCTCACTTAGTGTAAGCTTATTTCATCTCTATTCGATCGTCACGGGGACCTCGTTCGCCGTTGTGATTGGTCCTCACTGAAATCATCACCGTGACCAGCGAGTGTGCAGTAATGTGATTGGCGTTCCCAGTGATGCAGATTTCAGTGACGACCACCGTGACGATCGAGTGGGTGTGAAATAAACTCACACTTGGACCTCTGACCGTCATGAAATTGTGCAAACACATTGTGGTGACTACGGAAAAGGATGTGGCGACAAGGACACCCTTTGTTTAATACTGTATTCTTGGTTTCATAATTTTCCACCCCTTGGGTGGTATTTTTTCTTCAAATTTGAATGGGACAAACCGGGTATCACCATTATCTTACTTTTTTTAAATATGTGGGGTCGGCGCTCTGAGTTTTCTTCTTACATTCTCCTCTATCCATCTTTTCTTTGGTCATCCTCTAGGTATGGCGTGGTCGTCCTCTACTCTTATATCCGTTAACTTCCATACTTAAAACTTTCTTGACTTCATTTTGCTCATCTCTGCACATCACAATACATGTCCATATCAGGATAATATGTTGTTTCTTAACTTTTCATCCACTGGTTCTACTTTCGTGTTACGTGTCCATTCTAGTCCCACCACACACAAACGGGTAATATACTTACCCTCCTAAATAAAATATATTGTTTTTCCTAATCGATTCATAAATGACAAACTACAGGGATGGCGTAGTGGCTTAAGCGGCCGCCACGCCGCGCCGTTTCCTACTACGCTGAGAGGGTTCGATCCCCATATGGGACGACACTTTATGTGATCCAGAAATTGTTGTTCCGAGTCTGGATGTCCCATTATAAGTCCTATGTATTATGTTTTGTATTGTATCTTTAAAAAAAGAGATAAATTTCTGCGGTAACAAATGTAAAAAAAACTATTGAGAACTTCCGCCTTTTTATTGAAGTCGGTTAACAAAAGTTTTAATATCTGCTGTGCCACCCTGGATTCAACATTGCAGGAAATATTGTCACCATAGTAAATAGTCCGTCAAAGTCAAATTATGTGTTTTTCTTGGTCAAATGTCAAATCAAAGTAGACATATTATTATTTCTACACATCTAAGATACGATATAAATGATTTATGTAGGCAATTTTATCTCACCACTTAAGGACTATTATATTTAACTGCCACTGGAATATATACCTTAAAAGGTTCCTCAATAAGGAGTACATTTGTCTCTGCTAGTGGAATGCCTTTAATGTTTAATATCATTAGACAGTGGCTTCGACCTCACGTAACCTGATTGTAGAGTTATTTGGTGCTTGATAACAGTGTTTACTTAGACCTTACTGAGGAATGACGTTATTGTAAGGTTTGTTTACTTTACAAACAAGAGTAGGTATCATCGTCATCAACAGCCTTTAACATTCCACTGCTGGGCATAGGCCTCTCCTTAGAAAGGAGGTTTTGGCCTACTATACCACGCTGGCTAGACGGGTTGGTATAGGGTTTGTGTCAAGTTATCCTTCTCTTTGCAGTTTTGTTGTCCTGCATATTTTGCTCCCTTAATCGGCTCTTACGACACCCACGGGATGAATGGGAGTGGTAACAATCCGTATTCTTAATCCGTCACCACGCGGACCTAATACACTAATACTAAAATACAGTAGTAATTTTGCGTGATTATTTTTATTTTAGAAGAAAATGTTAATGCTCTCACAATTAATATAATTTGAGCTCATAAACAGTAACCTAACCTTGTAAAAACATGCTGAAATAGAGAGGTAACGAAGTTCGTTACCCGTTTTTCTTTATAGGATCCACTTATTGGTAAACGCAACTAGCTTTATGATTGACTCTTTTTCGTGACTATTCAAAAACACCATAAAATCAATTTAAAAAATATTTAAAACATAAGTAAACAGTTTTTTTCTGAATCCGGAGCTGGAAAGTTGCGCGCACGCCGCTTTGCCATCTTTCGACCATTTACTTCTGCTTGCTGAATGATAAATAGATGACGATACAATTATCGTAGGAAACATTCAATTCTTACATTGTCAGCTTCTTCTGGTTGTTGGTGATCTCAGTAAAATAATATTGAGTATAATAATATAACTAATACTATAATTTTTTGTTGATTCCAGGTCATCGAATGTCTGCTAATAGTCGGCGAACTCATGGATCTGGGCTTCTCAGAAGACAAGGTTTCGGCAGCGCTGGTCAAACATCAGTTCAACAGGGATCAGGCCTTGGACGAGCTGGTCTCGTAACAGAGTAAGAACTTATGTATATTAACCCTAAAATAATAAAAGAAAAAGAGCAAAGAATGATAATTGATCAGGATGACTGCACGGATGGTGTAGTGGTTTAAGCGGTCGCCACGGTACTTCCTACTACGCCGAGTGTTGTAGGGTCTATACCCGACACTGTGTGATCCACAAATTGTCGTTCTAAGTCTGGGTATTCTTTGTGTCCATTTCATGTATGTATATACTTACACAGGTACAATGGAAACAAAGTTGATCATTTATAAGCAAGTCCCATAAAAAATCTTTTCTATGTTCTCCTGCTTTAGAACTTCATTTATTTGGTCTGTAGGATTTACTACAGACCAAATAAATATAGACCACCGAGTCTTCACACATTCTTCAACATTTACATCATCACCCATTTATTCACTTTTTTTATTTAATCATCTTTTGCAGTTTTGCACATAACACTAAAGATATTATTTTTATAAAACCTCTTTCAAAACCACATTTTTAACGTAATTATAGCACCATTCCCCATTTATTCTAAAATTATAATTCAATCACAAAATCAATCAAATCGATTGTACTGATGGCGTAGTGGTTTAAGCGGTCACCTCGTCGTTTCCTGCGCTGAGTGTTGTGTCGATCTCCACATACGACAGCACTTGTGAATCACAAATTGTTGTTCTGAGTGTGGGTATTCTTTGTGTCCGTTACTTGTATGTTTTAAGTACCCCGCGATACAGGCTATATTCCCAGAGCGGGAACTCTATTCTTAAAAAAAAAACTCATTTAAATTATGGTTTGTTTCTTTCACAATTTTGATACTGGTTGGATAAATTAACGGCATAAACAACCAAAGTTATGCGTTCACGGACCTTGTAAGTAACCTAGTGAGTTTACTTTATTCAAATCTACCCAGTGAAGTGAAGTCTAGCTATTCGACCTTTTCTTGTTATTGTTTGCTTGTAAGGAAGTATTTACATTAAAACATCTCCCTTGTAGCACTTAAAGCACTTGTAGCACTTTATCAAGTGATAAGCTAAGTTCTTTGGTTAGTTTGAGTGATCCGGAAAAAATATTTCCTACATGCGTCTATCATCAATTATCTGTGGATTTTTATCAACGTAATTATTCTGTTGGAATCTACTAGCGTGTTAGCTTGCAGTGTCTTGTTATATCATTCATTAAAACAAAACTTATCCTTATACTCTGTTTGTTCATCTCAACAATGGTAAAGACAGGAGTTCTCTACCATTCACTCCATCTACTTAGAGGAGACAGAAACCGCTCTTTTCTTAAGAGCGTCCTCTTCTCTTCCTCTTTCTTTTCTTTGTTTTCTCTTTCTCCTTCTTCTTTTCTTTCTTTTGTTTTTACGTCATCTGGATGAATCTTGAAAAAGTTTTCTTTCTCGCAACTTCAGTGGGTTAAAGTTTCTGCCCATGGTCAGTCACGGTAATGGTTAGACCAGACTGCATTAGTGAGCGAATTTAAAGGCAAGGCATCTGCGTCTGGTTGGCGGATAATTTTCGTTTCTTTTTTTGACGTTCTTTGAGTTTCTCTTCCTCGTCGTAGTCACTTGTTTTTAACTTTCGTTTAGTCGATTATAGGTATAAGACAGTGTCAACTAGCTTCTAAGAAATCCGGTAGTACTAAACACCTTTAAACCTTGGATGACGGCAAACAACAAGATTTGCCGTTGCCGTCCGCTGCTGATGAGAAAAATGGACAAAAATAAATTTATGCTAGAAAATGTAATTTTGTAAAATTTCATCATTACTACAACCATTACGATTCAAATGCAATATCAATATTAAAATATGTGATGCCATTTAAGTCACACACATTTAATCCTAACCGTAGCTGTAGAGGGAACCGGTCGTGACGATGAGCCGGTTTAAGTCACCGACAACTTTGAGTTCATTCAACATGAGAGAGTCCGAACTAGTATTGATCATGATTTAATCCTAAACATACACATTTAAATACAGATTCTCAAAAAACATAACTCACCACTTTTCGCAATCACCTACTATAATACCTACTAGTATAATAATATTTACAAAATACCTACTAATATTTACAAAAGTTTACAAAAGTTTATCTCAAAAACAAAAACAATCTTTATTTGTTCATTCTATCCTCGTGAAATGTTGCCTACGGTCTTATCCAAAGTCCCCTAGGGTTAGTTAAATGACGTTTATACAATATTTCTTTATCTTAAAAGACTACTCATGCATTAGGAATATATCCTGTGTCGCGGGGAACTTTACAAACATACATGTGACGGACACAAAGAACACCCAGACTCAGACATCAAAGTGTCGTCCCTTGTGGGGATCGAACCCACAACACTGAGCGTAGTAGTAAGCGTCGTGGCGGCCGCTTAAACCACTACGTCATCCGTACAGTCAAAGCCACGGGACAAGGGTTCGATGAAATATGCTTTGATGCACAGATATCTTAATCTTATCTTAATATATATAAATCTCCTGTCACGATGTTTGTCCGCGATGGACTCCTAAACTACTTAACCGATTTTAAATTAAATTGGCACACCGTGAGCAGTCTGGTCCAACTTAAGAGATAGGGTAGCTTAGATCTTTAATTACAGTCGCAATTTTATTTTATTGTAAATTATTGGTCTATAATTAATTGACAGTCACAATTATCTGTTAACTCCAAAAGATTCTAACAGATGTCGATACTTTTCGACTGGATTGAGTAAGTAATCAATAGATGGCACTGCTATGGTAAACCGACAAACGTGTCATATAAGCTACAATTCAATATCAAACGCGGGTAACACCGCGGGTCTCAGCTAGTAGATATATAAATAACATACATATATGAGTAGTTATATTTCCACCACAATACGGAAATGATTTCATATCTGTAAAATGTTGTTAATGTAATTATTTTATGTTCTAATCTTACTTTCTCGATCATATCTAAACGGGCACTTAAAATTTGTGCATTTAAGTGTACAAATGTTATGTCATGTGTATTTAATCTTATATATAAAATTCTCGTGTCACAATGTTCGTTCCCGTACTCCTCCGAAACGGCTTGACCGATTCTCATGAAATTTTGTGTGCACATCGGGTAGGTCTGAGAATCGGCCAACATCTATTTTTCATACCCCTAAATGGTAAGGGTGACCCATCCCTAATTTTTTTTGTTTTGCAATACAACGTTTGCCGGGTCAGCTAGTAATTATATAATATACTTCAACTATCGCGTACCATCCACACTTATATTATAAATGTGACGCTTTCACGCCTAAACCACTATACCGATTAAAAAAATTCTAGTAATAGTTTGCTCCCTTATTCGGCTCTTACGACACCCATGGGATGAATAGGGGTGGCGACACTCCGTATTCTTAACCGTCACCACACGGATTGTAAGATACACGGTAAAGAATATTTCTAGTAAACATTAATCCACCTTGCGTTTGTGAAGGGTTTGTTTAGACAGTCGCTTTTAACACCATGATTTCAACACATATCTTTTTTGAGAAATTGAATTGTTCGGTATGGGCCTCGTCACCATGAGACTGGGTTAAATTGCCTGTTCTCATTACTTGTTTATATTTTTCAGTATGATAGATTAGTTCCTACTACATATTGTTGTTGAAGGAAGCTTGGATGGCTTGGATATCTAGGGAACCTTTTTCGATGCATAAAGGATCATTCTTGGAGTCTAAATGCAGAAACCGGCGTCCACATCCAATACGAACGACGATAAAGACGTGTAAAGAACTATGTTTCTTGCTGGTACTTAGTATTGTGGATGTACTTGGTCTTGTGTTTAAAAAGGGTCAACCATGGTGTCATTGTACGGTACCGGGCGGCGGAGACGCGCTCACCTGCGCCTCATGCCGCCCTGAGTGTGGCCGCAGGTGGACGGGATGGGTTCTCCCCTCCACCCGCATTAGTTGGCCAGCCGCGAGGGGGCGGCGTCCGCGTGTGCCGGACGTCGCCTAAAGAGAGGAAAATTTTGAGACGGAGCCCGCAACAGGAGCGGGCCGGCCCTGGGAGGGGTCCAGAAGGCGATAACTACCTGGACCCCTCCTAAACTGGAAGCGCAAAGAGGGCACATCGTGTGGTTTTAGTCGGTTCGAGTCCGACACACCGCCCCGCCGAACGAGAGCCCCGGCGGGGTGATGGTCCGAGGGGATTTCCACACGTAAAAAAAAAAAAAGGTGTCATTGTACGGTGCATTGCCAGCCTTTTAAAACAAACAAAGAAAGAATGGTTTAACACCGGTTTTCTGTGAAGCTGTGCTATAACTCCAACCGGTGGTAGCAAGCTTATATGTGCCAAAGGACGACTTTTGCATGGCATTTGCATTTTGACATTATGAATCAGATTAAAAAACTCATGATTACACGTACGTAAAAACAGAAAACAGATAGCAATCGTCACAAGTACGTACATCAGGTTCGAGCTAAATATATTTAAATTTAGGGATGCGTTCACACTGAAATATGCGGAACTTGAGATAGAAACACCTATAAATAATGTAGTATTGTTTACAACAGTGTTGAAAAACATAAATACTACAACTAATTTACTACATCCAAAGGTTAAAGATATTTTTACATGCATATGACGTGATGTGTAATTTTTATTTAGATTTTTCTTAGTGCTCCGTGGTCACAGGGGGGGGTCGTCTACCCGTCGTAGATGGCCCGAGGTACGTCGGGGCGCCAGGGATTTCCTTTCTAGGGTACACCTAGTTCCCTGACTACTGGTACCTGAGACGGCGTGCGGTTTTAGTCGGTGATATCCGAGGGGATTTCCGCACATAAAAAAAGGGCTCCGTGGTCGTTACAAAGAGCCGTCCGTGGTTAAGATTAGAAATTGTTGGTACTAGAAAGCTGTAACTTTTCAAATGGAAAAATAAAACCTTGAAAAAAAATTGAGAGCATAGGGAATTTACCATTTTTTTGGTGACAGATCGTCTTTCTTTAATTTTCCACCTTTAGGGGTGGTATTTTTTCTTCAAATTTG